CCTACGTGTAAATACCTAGCAAAAGGCAGAGAATTGTCAGCTCTTCAGGAGCCTGATGAGAGTTTCTGGGTGTTTACAATGACCTACGTCAGCATTTTCAACCCTCTTCATCCCATGGCACATATAAGCTACTTACTAAACTTCTGCAGCATCCCCCCAAAAATATATATTTTTGCAGATCTGACAAAAAATATAATTTTAAAATGATTTTTATTGATTTTTAGAGAGAGAGGAAGGAAGAGGGAGAAAGATATAGAAAGTTTGATGAGAGAGAAACAGCAATCGGCTGCCTCCTGCACACTCCCTTCTGGAGATTGAGCCCACAACCCAGACATGTGCCCTGACCAGAAATCGAACCATGACCTCCTGGTTCATATGTTGACACTCAACCGCTGAGCCACGCCAGCTGGGGATGAGTTAACTATTTCTTAACTGCCATCCAAACCAGCCTTGTAACTGAGCGTGGTGGCAGCATGGTGGATGAACGTGCAGGTGGATAGAGCCCTTTGGGTTATTGGACATACTCAGAGCAGTCTCTCCTGAGGGAATCATTGTAATTACAGGAGAGTTTTTGTACAGATATGTTCTTCCCAGGGTTCTCTTCAGTTGGACATAAGGTTGTTTCAATTTCTTGCAACCATAATGGGATAGTTAAGTAGATTTGAGGGTTGTCCTTAACCATTAAAATGTTTATCAATTTTATATGGGTTAATGCTTTATTCTCAGGGATATGTTCTAAGACCCCCAGTGGATGCCTGAAACGATAAAATAGAACAATATCCTGTAATGAAAGTTATGTCCAAAGAATTTGGTTTCCCCAAATATCTGACTATATTGTACTCACTCTTCTTCTCGTGATGATGTGAAATGACTTGATGCTTACTTGATGAGATGAAGTGAGGTACTCAGAACAGAGTGCAACTTAAACCTTATGAATTGTTTATTTCTGGAGTCTTCCCATTTAATATGTTCAGACTGTGGTTGACCATGGGTAACTGAAACTATGGAACACGAAACGGTGGATAAGGGGGGACTCCTGTATCTATAGCACGTTTTCCTGACAGGGCAGCATATACGTTTATAGCCCATCACATACAGAGAGTCCTGAAATTCTTCAGATCTCTTCAGTCTCCCCAAAGTCTCCACAACACCCCCTCAAAACCTCTTGCCCTAGCTGGTTTGGCTCAGTGGATAGAGCATCAGCCTGGGGACTGAAGTGTCCCAGGTTCAATTCCGGTCATGGACACATGCCTGGGTTGTGGCCTCAATCCCCGGTAGGGGGTGTGCAGGAGGCAGCCGATCAATGGTTTTCTCTCATCATTGATGTTTCTATCTCTCTCCTTCTCCCTTCCTCTCTGAAATCAATAAAGATATATTTAAAAACAAAACAAAACAAAAAACCTCTTCCCTCTGACAGCCATATTCTCTCTGTATGGCTCCATGTGATCCCTTCATGGCCAAGTGTTTTGTTCTCAGCTCCTGCTCATCCTCTGTGCTTCTGACACAGGACCCTTCCCACTGCCTGTGGCACCATGGAAGGGCAGTCTCCCAGAGAAGTGCCCGTGTTCACTCCCTGGAGTTCAAGTTAATATATTTCTCCATCTTGTAGCAGGATTTTTCAGTTTTCTTATATAATCTGTCTTGCTTTTATAGTGACAAAAATATATAGTATTTTCAAAAGGGTAAAGGACATTCAAAAGCAGGGAGAGAAGGTGCCCTAGATTCTTTTTCTTCTGTTAATATCAGTGTGTTTTAGGCATTATGCCGGGCTTGGAATTCATAAGTAGGATTTCATTGTTTCCACTCTTTCCAGGAACGGGTCCAGACAGTAAGTTTGGGAGGAAACTATCTTCTCAACATTGGGCCAACTAAAGACGGACTGATCGTTCCCGTCTTCCAAGAAAGGCTGCTCGCTGTTGGGAAGTGGCTGAGCATCAGTGGGGAGGCTATCTATGCCTCTAAACCATGGAGGGTCCAATTGGAAAAGAACGAATCTGTATGGTGAGTCCTGTCTTCTGTTGTGTGTGGGAGCGGGACTGTGTCCGTCCTGAGCTGGCATCTCCTTGGTCCACAAGGTTAGAAGCCCCACTGGAAGTCATCTTGAAACCCACAAGCTGTTCTTTTGCTGTTCATTTGTAGCCCAGTTTATGGCTTAAGCCACCGGAATATCTTTGACTAGTTAGGGTGGGGATAGGCTTGGTGCAAAAAGCATCAAAAAACATCAGTCAGTTTACTTGATACTTTACACGGTCTAATTAAAAATAGTACTAGCTAATAGTTGTGTAGCAACTACAATGTGTAAGGCTCCATTCAAAATTCTTTCCACCCATTTCATCCCCTCAACAAGCCCACCGGATGGATACTGTTATTATCTCCATATTACAAGTGAGAAAGAGGGCCCAGAGCAGTACTATAACTTGCCTGGGATCACAGAGCTAGTAAATGCGGAAGTCATGATTCATACTTGGAATTGTGGATCTAGTTATTTGATCAACTGCAAAATGGGGTGATGATTCTTCCTAGAGCTACTGTGAGAATTAAATGAGATAATGTATGTAAAGCTTCCAGCAGAGTGCCAGGCATATATGATGAGTTAATAAATCTGCTAGTGTTATATCAGAGCGTAGGTCCTTGGATCAGGGGAAACATGGCCATTTCTGTTTCAGATGAGCTTTCGGTAGGTGATTTTCATCGTTTTCTCTAAGCATGAAATCTCAGAATTACAAATTTGTCTTCATTGCACATCTTGCCCTTGTTATATCCTCTGGTATTTTCACATGGATTTGGAGTTGAAAAACTATTTGAATGATAAGGTAGAAGGCCTCAGTGTGAAATAACTGGTATAAGAGTTTAAAAATTTTGAAGAAAACTTATAACCCAATAGAGCAGTGGTTCTCAACCTTCCTAATGCTGCGACCCTTTCATACAGTTCCTCATGTTGTGGTGACCCCCAACCATAAAATTATTTTCGTTGCTACTTCATAACTGTAATTTTGCTACTGTTATGAATCGTTATATAAATATCTGATATGCAGGATGTATTTTCATTGTTACAAATTGAACATAATTAAAGCATAGTGATTAATCACAAAAACAATATGTAATTATATATGTGTTTTCCGATGGTCTTTGGCGACCCCTGTGAAAGGGTCGTAAGTTGAGAACCGCAGCAATAGAGAGTGAAAATAGATGATATCACCAGAAAGAGGCAGCTTTCTTCCCACAGACCTTAATTGGTATTGAGTTATTAGTGCTTCCTCGTGTCAGTGACAAGCACAGGGCTTGGGGTTTGTATATCATAGGAAGGGGAGTGTATAAGGTTATGTGTAATAACCTTAGGTGTCAGGTAACAAGCCAGGTGTCTTTGATACTGATGCTTCTTTTTCCCAGGTATACCTCAAAAGACTCAGCTGTTTATGCCATTTTCCTGAACTGGCCAGAAAATGGAGTCTTAAGCCTTAAATCCCCCAAAACTACCTCCGCTACAAAGGTAAGGGGCCTCAGTCCTTTCAAAGATGTAACTTTCTTTTTTTTAAATTAAATCTTTATTGTTCAGATTATTACATTAGTTACTCTTTTTCCCCCCTATAACTCCCCTCCACCCAGTTCCCGCCCCACCCTCCTCCCTCACTCCCCACCCACTGTCCTCATCCATAGGTGCACGATTTTTGTCCAGTCTCTTCCTGCATCCCCCTCACCCGTTTCCCCCCAAAGAATAGTCCACTCCCTTTCTATG